GAGAAGGCAATGAGGTGGGGTAAAAAACTGTTATTATGGAAAACATGTAATAACACGAGAAAATACTTATGATAATATCTAGTGGAAAAAACAGAAACAAAATTGTATATACAGTAGGATTACAAAAACATTTGCATGGAGGGGAAGAACAGCTGTAAAAAGAGAAACCAGTAAAAGGTTTACGACAGTTGTGTGGGGTAGCGGAGCTAGGGATAACTGCTTTTCTGCCTTTCTGTGGTTTCTGCGTTATTACTTGAGGAAAAAAACATTATTTTAAAATGTCTGTGTGTACTGTGCAAGAAGGTGGTCCCGGCACTGGGATGGGAGTCAAGCTGCCCGTTCAATACATTGCTCCACATCACAACGACCTGGGCTGTCACGGGCTCTCTGCTACATCCATTCATTTGAGGGTCAGCAATCCCTCAATCTTTAGTCCAAGAAATTCCCCTTCTTGACTTAACTGTTACTTCGAGTCTGATACAGGCTGAGAAACCAGACCACTTAAGTCCCTCAGAACTGTAGGTGAAAACAACAGATTTGCCTCTAACAGTTCCTTCGAGTCACTCAATACAAAGGTATACCACGTGTGAAAAGTGAGGTTTCTCTGGTAGTAGAGTCAAAACTTCAAGAAGATGAATAAAGGGGCATTTCCAACCTAAGACAAGAAGACACTTTAACCAAGATGTTACTCCATAGCTGTACAAGTTCAATCTGATGTGAATTTTTTAAACATTTTTAAACCCATTTGAAAACCAACTTTTCTTCACATGAGCTTGACTCTGGCCAGATACTAACACTCCTAACCATTTAAAGAAAGCAGTAAGACTGGCAATACTAAAGTAGACAAGGACAGGGAGCATCTAGAATGCTCAGGATTTCAAGATGGTGCAAGTGCTTGGGAGAGCTGTGTGGCAGTTTCTTATAAAGTTAAACATGTACTTATTTTATGACCCAATGACACACCTAATGATTTACCCATGAGAAATGAAAATGTTTGACTACACATAGCCTTGAACTCAAATGTTCATAGCAACTAACAGCCAAAAACTGGAAACAACCCAAAGTCCATCAACCAGCAAGTAGAACTCAAACTGCAGTGTAACCGTACAATGGAATATTATTCAGCAATAAAAAGGACTGAACAACTGATAATGCAACAATACGAATGAAGCTCAAAAGATCATGCTGTTAAGAACAAGCAATACCTGTCTTTAGGGACAGAAATCAAAACAGCGGCTGGGAGAAGATACGAGTAACTAAAAAGGAAACACTTTCAGAGCTATAAAAACATTTTAACTGAGTAGTAGTTACATAGGGGTAAGAGGATTGTCAAAATTCAAAGAACTGGGGCCAGCCCAGCGGCGGAGCGGTTAAGTTTGCACGTTCCGCTTCAGCGGCCCGGGATTCGCCAGTTGGGATGTCAGGTGCAGACATGGCACTGCTTGGCAAAAGCTACGCTGTGGTAGGCGTCCCACATATAAAGTAGAGGAAGATGGGCAAAGATGTTAGCTCAGGGCCAGTCTTCCTCAGCAAAAAGAGGAGGGGGGCCGGCCCAGTGGTGCAGAGGTTAAGTTCGCACATTCCGCTTCTCAGTGGCCTGGGGTTCACAGGTGCGGACATGGCACCACTTGGCAAAAGCCATGCTGTGGTAGGCATCCCACATATAAAATACCAGGAAGATGGGCATGGATGTTAGCTCAGGGCCAGTCTTCCTCAGCAATAAGAGGAAGATTGGCACTAGTTAGTTCAGGGCTAATCTTCCTCAAAAAAAAAAAAGAAAATAGGAGGATTGGCAGCAGATGTTAGCACAGGGCTAATCTTTTAAAAAAAAAAACCTCAAAGAACTATACTTAAAATGAGTGTCTGTATGTAAATTATATACCAACATGTTTGTTAATTTGACTATCAGCAAAACTAATCATTTTTATTAAATAAAATAAAAATTAAGATTATAAAATTGATAATCTTCTCCCTCCCTCTTTCAATTATATGTGGTTTATCTATTTTTTTACCACAACTAACACAACAGAGTTTCTTGCCTCAATTAAATCACGCTGTTAAAACACGTAAGAGTAGAAAAATTGGCTTTATAGCAAATTAACAGCCTTTCTTTTCAGACCTTTCTCCTCTACAGAAGCACACAGGTATCAGTGGTCTAAAAACGCGATGCATTAATCACTGCTTTTTATTCTTCTTGTTCACCTTAATCCTTCCCTTAGATGGACCCTTCTGCTGGAGGAAATTACCATCACTTCTTACAGGCCCAGTTCAAGTGCCACCTCATCAAGGTGAGTGTTAACTGGGATTCACCAACCCTAGCCAGGATCATTTATCTGTCTGTGCAACCAAGTGTTCCCCAACAGAACTGTCCCAGATGGTGACAGTCTCCCTCTGGCCTCTCTCTTCCCTCCAAGGCTTGGATAATCTCCCCTGCTCCATGTCCCAGTCCCTCAGCCTGAGCCCCACTATCAACTCGTACAGGCTCCACTGCACCATAATAAGAAAAGCTAACCTCAGGATGAAATCACTAGCTTGGGTCCCAGGGCAATTAGCATCCAAAAGGCTCCAAGGGCCTTCTCCTCCCCTACACAACAGCCGTTTTAGCGTCCATTCTTACTGTCTTTCCCACTGCAGAGGGCAAAATCCAAATCTGATTCACCTTTATAACCCAAGAGGGCCTACTTAATGCCCTCTGTAAATTCTCAAACTATAGAGAGGAGAGGAAAAAGCTTAGATAGAAGCTAGGAGGAAACCTCGTTTTTGCAACTGAGCAAACTATGGCCCAAGTTAAGTTACACATGCATACATTTAATAGGCACTGCACACCACTACAGCCAGGCACTGCAAGTCACTGCAACCTTTACCGACGTGTGGATCTTACATTTCACTGGAAGGGATTCAGACAGACAAGCATAGCATCTGCATTCTTTCCCGGCTATGTTCTTGTTCATCTCTCACCATACCCACTGACACGCCTGACGCATGGCCCTGGGTGTCACTGCCTGGGATTTTCACACCTCCTGGGCTTTTCTCACGTGGTTTGTTCCCTCTGCTTAAGGTGCTACCTACATCATCTAAGATACAAATATTTAACAAGTGCCTCTGACATTGTGCTAGGCACTGGGGGATCAGCAGACAGTCACTGCACCCTCAAAGCTCACAAAGGCACAGAGCTCCCATACGGGAAGGAGGCATCACACAATGTCATAAATGTCCATGCTTCAAAGTGTTGCAAATTAGAGGGTGCTGCTAAGCTATGTGTAACATGGGCTCCTAACCTAGAAGGCCGCCCTGAGGAAAGGACTTTCAACCTGAGGCCAAGGAAGACTCTGCCATGAGAACAGTGGGATGAAGAGGGCTGCAGACAAAGGGAACAAGTGCAGGAGAAAGGCAGAGAGTCCAGGCGGTTCAAGGAGAAGATTCACGGAGGTTCTTAAGTCTCTGAACTTGGCTAAGGAAACAGATACATGTTCATTTTTATTAACCTCTTACCGAAATTCAGCATTTCCTTAAATTATGAATGTAGGCAATAAACCAGAGATAGAAGTACCTGTGAGTGTGACATCAAAAAAATCATAAATATTCTTATATCACATTACCATGGATGCAGATAGCATGAAATACTGTTTTCTATCACTGACTTGATATTATAATAATTAGACCCACCATTAGGGCTTGTTATTTAATAAGGCATTCAGAAGCACATTTTACCACATCACAAATTTGCTTTTTAATATTCTTATACATTTCAATGTAGTAGAGCTGTGTGCTGCTTAACAATGGGGACACCTGACTAGTGTGCCAGGCGATTTCCCCATTGTGCGAACACCAGAGTGTACATACACAAACCAGAAGGTATAGCCTACTACACACTCAGGCTACACGGTGCTAATCTTATGAGACCACCGTCGTCTGTGTGGTCCATCAGTGAACAAAACGTCGTTACGCGGCTCAAGGCTGTAATGGAGTTCCCTTTGCAATCCTGTGTATTTTACTTTAAGCATCTGGAAACATTTTAAGAAAGCAGTGAACAGATTTCACCAGATTGCAAAAGGTTAAAAGTACCTTTGGTATAAGGAAAAGGACATGTGGTTGAAGCAGAGAGTAAGAATGGCTCAAATTTTTTTTTGGAGGGGGTTAGAGGGAGGCATAGTGCTGAACTCACAGTAAGAGCAATGGAGACCCTTGGAGAGTTTTGAGGTGGTGATATGATTACTTTCACTGCTGTGTGCAAAAGAGATGAAGGACCAAAGGGGCAGGCAGCAAAGCTAAGGTAGGTATAGGGAAATGAGCTAGGAGGCTAATGCTTCCCAGTGGGGGTTTCTGGTGGGCTGTACTAGGCAAGGCAGCACTTTTAGAAAACAGAATAATTTTCAGGGCCACTAGGCCCTGTTGCCTAGTGGTTAAGTTCAGTGCACTCCACTTTGGTGGCCTGGGTTCAGTTCCCAGGAGCAGACCTACACCACCTGTCAGTGGCCATGCTGTGGTGGCAACCCACGTACAATAGAGAGGAAGACTGGCACAGATGGTAGCTCAGGGTGAATTATCTTCCTCTGCAAAGAAAAAAAGGACGAAAGAAAGAGTAACTTCAATAGAAACAGTGAACTAAATGGAAAAACTACAAACTTAGTACAACTGATATATAAAGAATATTCCTAGTTATACTTCTGAAGTTGCAGATTGCTGTGTTAACCAGCGTAAATCTACTGTTCTTTCATCAAGTGGGTTTTAATACGTAAGTCTGATACATAATGCCTGTTTTATGCCAGCAAAAATTCCTTTATAAGAGATTCCAAAGGCTTTCCAAATTGTTTTACTGCATTATGAATTTAATGGAGACAAAAGGTTAGAAGCACAAGATCTTGCCTTCTTTTCTAAAATTCAGTTATCGTATAACCTCACTTATTAGGGAATATGCTAGAAAAGTAGAAAATCAACAGAAGATCTCTGAGGAATCAACAGCAATGTTAAAGTTCATGCACAAAAACAAGGACACTTACCACAGAGGCATGGTCTCATAATCAGGAACTTTTTGGTTTTATTTCACAAAGTAACAGCCTCGTTAACTGGTTTCCCATATTTTAATTAATTACGTGATGAGAATATACTTAAAGACACATTCACAGTACCAAGAGTAAGTAGCAAGAGTCAAAAGAAAAAAAAAAATTCAGGGGGCTGGCCGGTGGCGCAGCAGTTAAGTTCGCACGTTCCACTTCGGCAGCCCAGGGTTCACCAGTTTGGATCCCGGATGTGGACATGGCACCACTTGGCAAGCCATGCTGTGGCAGGCGTCCCACACAGAAAGTAGAGGAAGATGGGCACGGATGTTAGCTCAGGGCTAATCTTCCTCAAAAAAAACAAGAAGAAGAAGAAAAGATTGAGTTAAGGAAAAATATACAAGTCCAAAGCAGCTGTTCTAAAAAGCTTTCAAAGCAGTTCTATCCCTTAAAAGAAATCTCATGGATAGTAAATATGTACAAGAGATGAAGACAAGCTGCACTGGCTGCAATCTAAGCAAGGGGCTCAGAGCCAGTCCTCAAAGTGACTCTGATCATTGCAAATTTGGCCGCAACAGAGAGCTATTTTAAAGGCAGACTCCTAGTTTCATCTGCTAGTTTTATCTGTTTTCTACCTTGCATGCATATTACACAATGGTACAGTGGATATTACCCCGTTATCTCATCCTTGGTTTTGTCCTTTATTTTTAAGGCTATAAAATTCATAAACAGAACTTATGTAGATTTTTATGTACTTAAATGGATTTAGAATCCATAAACTCAGGGCTGGCCCAGTGGCATAGTGGTTAAGTTCACACGCTCCGCTTCAGCAGCCCAGGGTTCGCAGGTTCAGATCCTGGGTGCAGACCAACACATGCTGTGGTGACATCCCACAAACAAAACAGAGGAAAACGGGCACTGACATCACCTCAGGGACAACCTTCCTCAAGCAAAAAGAGGAAGACCGGCAACAGATGTTAGCTCAGGGCCAATCTTTTTCACCAAAGAAAAAAAGAATCCAGAAACTCAGACGTAGGCCAGAGCTGTTTTCTTATACATCCAATGGGAACATTAATACACTATTTAAAACAGGATAATGATGGTCATGACAATAATTGAGTACCAAGACTTTAAAAAGTATACATTTTAATCTCTTTGGTATGTAGGTAGGAATAAATCCTAAGGTATCCATAAAATGTGGCTGCTAGAAGAAGTCATTACTAGAAGATTCCAGAGAGCTGAGGTTTCATACCATTTTAATGGCTGATCTGAGAGTGCAGAGAAGATTATGAAATTGGAGGGTGGTATTTAACTAGATGGGAAGTAATAAAGAGAAAGAGAAATTCTTAGAGAATATTTTCATATTCTTGAGGTCAGAAAAGCATTCCTAAACAAGACACAAAACTCATTAAGGAAAACCAAACTGGACTACAGAAAAATTTAAAGCATCTATATGAGAAAAGACACTCTAAGAAATACATAGAGACAAAATATTTGTAATATGTTTAATAAACATCCAGAAGATAGAGTTCTGGCAAAGAACAATAAGAAAATGACATCAAAATAAAAATGGGCAAAGGTCATAAACAAAAAGAAATGCGGATGGCCAACAGACCAATGAAAATGCTCAATACAGTGAAATGCAAATTCAACAACAATGATGAATTACACTTAATTCATTAGTAAAAACTAAAGAAGCTTTATAATACCAAGTGTTGGCAAGAAGGGAGGAAAATAAAAACTCTCATACACTGTTGGTGGGGATGTAAATTGGTTAAACCTTTCTGGACGGAAGAAATTCTTCCTACTATAAAAAGTGAGCACATACCCTTGGACTCAATACTTCCACTTCAATCCTATGCCAACATGCCCACACGTGTGAAAAATGCATGGAAAGAGATTTGTTTTCTAAGTAAACAAAACAGTGGAAACAACCCTAAATGTCTGAGTGCCTCCCAAATGCCAGGCTCTCTTCTAGGAGGGGAAGCATAAGGAAGTGGTTAAATAAATTACAGTGCACTGGTCCTGTCAGATACCACGCAGCATTAAAAAGGATGGCATGCAAAGATCTTCAAGACACAGTTAAGTGAGAAAAGGCTAAATCACAAAAGGAGTCCATTCCATTTATATAAACAAGCCAAAAAAAGAACAAAAGAACCACCTCTGTGTCTACATAAATGTGTGTGTAAATACACAGAAAGTGGACTGACTGGGATGTGTGGGGGATAGAGGCGAACTTCCTATTTCACCCTGAACAGTTCTGAAGTTGATCTTGAATGTTGTATCAAATTCAAACTTAATTTGAATTTTGTACACCACGATTTAATCACATTATTTTTCTCTTGGACACAAAGTTAGATCTTATTGTCATTACATGAATCAAAATGCAGTGTAAAGTGAAAGACAGGTAATCTGCGGCAAACCCAAAAAGGCTTTCCAAGTCACTGGCCAAACCAGTCACTTCCTACCAAGGGTCTGTGGCCCATCTGCCCTCCAAGGCCCTTGTGCAGGCTGCCTGGAAGCCATGTCCCACAGGCATATTACATTTAGCTCTCCCACTTACAAAATCAAACACTGACGCACTTTAAACTCCCTAAGCTACCCCCAAATCAGTCTTTCAAATACTGGCTAAGGCATAATAACACTGAGTTACCACTAACACAGTGGCATCACTTGATGTAACCTGGATTTCCAGGCTAATGATACACATGCATAGCAGAAAAGCAAAAATCACATGTTAAAACCAAAGGGTTATGGCCCTTTACTGACCATTTTATGGTTCAGAAGAAACCGTACTGAATTAACTACCCTCAGTACAGGTTCAAACACCCTATTTGAAGATTATCACCAACAACCACCTCCTATAAACACAGTAAAGTCGGATCTTTGCTCCTTCCACTAACATCTTAGCCAATTCTTCAAGATCCTTTTTAATGTAGGAGGAGAGAACCAGAAGAGGATTATAGGAACAAGAATATCCAAAATCCAATTTTTTTCTAAATTGGAAGGGAAAAAACCGAGAAACTAATTTCTCAACTTGGCCCTGCTTTACTTTAACTTGAAGAAATTGAGAGAAGCTACATTACTACAGCTGAAAGAGAGCCAACATTTACTTTGGCAGAAAAACACCAAAGTCGTTGAAGTTATTTTTTTATTACCACTCAAGTGCTGCAACAGGAGCAACAGCATGTTTATTTTTATCCTTTTTTAATGGATAACCAAGAGCACCATTTCAAATTTTCCAAAGTCAGGTCTGAGGGGAAGAAAAGTAGATACTAGTAACACATACCCCCAACATTATGTTAAGCTTTGAGTCTAGGTGACAAGTGTCCAGGTGTTGGTCATACTGTTCCTTCAACTTCTCTATGTGAAATTTTTCATAATGTAAAAATTTGGGGAAAAGGATTTAATCAAATTCATCTGGATGAGCCTTGGGTTAATAGGAACTAGTATAACAACATTTACTGACTGCCTGCCCAGTGCCAGAAGACTCAAGGATGAACCGTATTTGCCTGTCAACGCGACACTGCCTTTGCTCATGCTGTTCTCCTAGAAGAAGGCCAAGGGCCCAGCACAGAGAAGCTGCTCACTAGCAATATCAACAGTGCCCAGTGGGAGCAGAGTTCATTGAAGCTGAACCTTTAGGGGGAGGCAGACGTGGACCAGCGGTGAAACGGAAGGAGCAAAGGGGTAATGTAACCACAGTCTTCAAGGACCACGACCTTGATAGGACAGAGACAGAGAAAAGGAACAGAAATGTCAGACGCAGCACACGAGACTGGGCTAAGAGTGGTCTAATCAAGAGTTTTAGGTAAGACTTGAGTTGTTTAGATTTTACCCCATAAGCAATGGAGAGCTACCGAAGATCGGAGCAGGAAAGTTAGCTTTTTCTTAAAAAAAGATAACTATGACGACAGGAGGGAGATTAGAGAGGAGTACTTCCTCAACACTGACCAATCAACACAAGTGCCAGTTAACAATAGTATAATTTAAGTTCGAGCAAAGTTGCGCTGGGGGAGCTAAGGGAAGTGACACCAGAATTTAATGCAACCGGTGTTAGTAAAGGCTCCTCCAAATTAGCAAGGAGATCAAGAGTAATACGCCTGGACAAAACATTCACCAGCTCAGAGTATCACTTAAAACAGGAAGGATGCTGTACCGTGAACTTCAACCCGTGAATGCAGACATGTTAAAGTCAGACTCAAGAAAAAAAAAAAAACGTTTTAAAGCCCTGATAATACCAAACTTCAGGAAGAACGTGCACCACTTGGGACACAGATGTTGCTGGTAAATTGTAGTGCTTCAACGATTTCAGAGAACATTGTAGTAATTACTAACGTTGAAAACGCACACAGCCTACGACCAGACAACTTCCTATATACGTGAATCAGGAAACATAAAAATTAGGGTCACAGCTACATTGAGCAACAAAAACGAAGCAGCTTATGGTTCATCATCAATCGGTATACAAATTAGTCTTTCTCAGGAGGGGAAAAAGGAATTCAATCTCAAAGCATTTCCACCCTAAACCCCATTTCAAATGTGAATGGTCTTTTGCTTTCTAAGGTAGGCTGCCATCGGCCCCACAGCCTCTCTTTCCTCTGCCTGGACACCTGCCACGTCCCCTCCTCCCACGTCCCCCTTCGCTATCCACCCCCACGTGGCCTCCCATATACTCTGCTGTGAGAAGGCAAAGAAAAAACGTCTTTTTAAGCAAATACATAAAAGCACCCCCCAGGGCTGGGTTCCAATACCAGCTGTGTTCCGCTCTCCTAGTGCTGGGTGGGACCAGCATCTCTGCGCTCCAAAGGGGTGGCCCTTCTTCCCCACGCTCAAGTTGTGAGAACCAGAGGTCTCTCTCTTTTTCTTAATTTTGGAATTCTTTTTCATCCTCGAGGAAATCTCGCTTTCCTGCCCCTCGAATTGTGCAACATTCATACCCGGTCCCTCCCCCCTCTTCCGCTTCCTTCCCACCTCCCCCCTTTACTCCCTCCCTCCCCGCGACCACCCATGGGTCTCATGAAGTCAAGATCCCAGACAAAACGAGGCATCCAGCAGCCAGGGCTTTGGTGGTGGTGAAGTGTCCCGGCCACCAGCAGCCACCAGTCAGGGGCCCTGCAGAGCGGCTGATCCTACAGCTGGGTCACCTCCCCCGGCCCCTCCTCCTGCAGTCAGTCCCCTGGTGCTGCAGGTTTCGTGGATGCGGGGGGGGGGGGACCCCAGCTCCTTCCTCTCCTGACCTGC